GCGAACTCCGTTTTGCCACTAGATGGTTAGTTTTATGTAGTATTTCGTTTGGTGATTAAAAGACGAACATTTTTTTTTGTTTTTATTTTATTAACCTCACTGAGCCCGAGAACTTTCCAACGAATGCAAAACCGTGGAAATCGGTTCGTGCGTTCTGGAGTTATAGCGTCAGGAAAGAAAACCCGACTTTCTTTTTATACCTCTATAGTAGATAATTATATGAGTAAAAATGTTGAGTTATTATTATTCACGTCTAGCTACGTCTCTTTAGACATAACGTTATTGGTAAACCTTGGTTGGCTGGTAGAGAAAACCCGCCATTGTATAAACATTTGTAAGTACAAGAAGTGTTAAAATAAATAAACCAAACGACATATTTTTTCCTAATATTTTCAATAGAAGTAATCTAAATTCTAAATACAACATGAGTCTCTTTTCACAGCATGAAACACATAAGCCGTCATAAACAACGATACAAAATATTAACGCTTTTACCTACATTTGAATAAAACTGGAATCGCACATTATTCCATATTGTAATCCCCTCACTAGCCTACCATTACCCCATTCAGACACATTAAAATTTAAACCTTATTCCAAACCGTACAAAACGTATAATTCACTGACTTTGAGATGCGAACAAATATTTAAAAATTAAACCTTATTGCATTCGAAATACAGTGGATTATTTAGCACAGAAAGCTTTGTAAAACATATTGCATATTCAAACGAATAGCTGTTTTCAATCAAAGAGCATAAAGTTGAGATTTCTTTAGCTTAATGACTGTATTGTAAGATTGGCGGCGAGCGCCATCGGAGCGGGAAATTCAAATAAGGAACTCGTCGACGAAGTTTAGTGAGACTTCGGATAGTTTCGGACTAATTCGGACCAATTTCTATGTTCTAGAAGGCGATTTGAATTCAAATTGCCAATAAATGCTTCTCTATTTGGCGAGTCGTTGAATGAACGTAAACCATATTGTTATGGATTTAAGGTTTGCATTCAATATTCACATTTTCTATGGTTGTCTTTCCGATTCGCAAATGAGAATCCTTTATAATTGTTACATTTTTTGAAAATTTGTAGTAGCAGCTCGGAATCAAGATTATAACGATAAGCTAGCCCTCTCCTAGATACGTTCTTATTAAAACACTGCCCAAAAGTGAGTTACTTGAAATATAATATAAGCACCTGAACTTACTTTTTTTCAATGTGACAAGTCCGCCACAACCTACCAAAACCGCTGCTACTCCTGTAATCCAAGATCTAAGTAGATACAACTATGAAAACATCGAAACACTGAAGTCTAAGTCAGCGCGTTCTAGGGACACAAATAACTGTCTTGGTTCCCGCAACGAAGTAAATCAAAAGATTAAAAAAAAACGATTACTTACAACCTTCACCTACTCCTATAAGAAACAAACTATTTAAATGTCTTGAGCTAAAACGGTTTAATAAATAAAGAACCCTATTACAAAATGTCCCCATTTACACTCAACAGCTCTGTCTACCCCTTTACAAACACATCTGTATTATCTTTTCATTATACTCCTGTTACAAATCGCGATAGACTCCAATTCAACCATTCTATTCTAAAGCGTCGAGCATTTAATGGTTACCCCCCACTTTCGATCCCCATAAAAGGGGGAGGGGGGAGGGGTGTTTTTTTTTTTTTTTTTTTTTTTTTAAGGGGGGAAAATCATCGAATGACTGCCCCCGCCAGGGGGGAGGGGTGTACAATTTAATATTCGGACCTTAAGCAGCTATCGTTTATCACAAATAACAAGTGATCCGTTTTAATACTGGCTGAGAATGTTTCATAATATTTTGCTGGAAATAATCGCATGTATTATTCATAACTAGTTATTCATAGTTGTGTTATTCAGATTTTTGTTATCTAGTGATAGCAGAGTAAGATACATTTTGTCACTTAGGTACCACTTATTCTTCCTATGGATTTGGTAAGAGCCGACTAAGGTACTACAAATTTAGTTGAGACTAGGCAACGATGCGCGACGCTCTCTGATAAACATGAAATATAAGAATATTTTAATCTCAGTTGCGGTTGTAAGTCACAGCGTTACTCTAAAAAAATCATTAGCAAACTTCAAGAAAAGATCAAAGTCGAGAACCCCTTCCGAAAAAATCTAAAATTCAAATTATCTCAAAACAAAATAGATGTACAGAGTGTATCAAAATTTTAACCCCCTCCTCTCGAAAGCAAAATGGCGGGTCGGCGATATTAATTGCTACAAACAACTTTCTGTTACACTAAACAAACATAATAACGCCCTGTATGAATATTCATCATTGCAAATCAACTTAGGGTTAAGTAGGGTTGAATCATGAACTTTAGCGTATAGCTGACAAATTGTCAGATTTATTAATATCAAATGAATTTATCGGGTCATTTTGAATGTCAATGTTTATTCTACTAGTGTTAATTTCGAACCCTATCTAAATTTCTAATTAAGTTTGGAGTACACGGTGTTATTTCAAAATGGCGGAACCCGGGAAGATTTATTCCATCGTCGTTACACTAAACAGGCGACATTATTGTTGTATCTTCACTTAATGCCTCACCTTCCTTCCTTAAAATGTAGCAAATTAGTGGATATTAGGGAAAATGTCTGCCAAAATTTCGATGCTTTTTCCTGGTTGCAGATTTAATGCAATTGGGGTTGCTTAACCTTTTCGAGGCTAAGGAGGAAAAATTAGGAAAATGTGTTTCGGGGAAATATCAGGCGCATTTCAGAACATGGATTTTAATTTAGTTAAATAATTTTGAAGAAAATCTACTCCTTTAATGAAGTGTAACAAGACCACTTTGTTGTCTGTCAAAATTAATTAGTGATGTAACAAGAATAGAGTGATTTAAAAAAAAAATATAGATGAAGGAAGAGTAATTAATACCTCTTGAACCACATTGGACTTTGATGGTATGCCCATTTCACAGTCTTCTAGATATTTTTTTATGAAAGAAAACTATTAATCGTTTACTTTAAAAGTCGCTGCCATCAGTTTCCCAGGGCTGGCACATAAGCAGAAAGTGCCGATACGATCAGTAGGTAAAATAGGGCGCGATCTAATTTAGTTAAAACCCTAATTTCACAGCTACCCGCACGGAATCCGAAGTGAATCCACGTATTAAGTTTGAATCGAAAATAGATTACATAATAGTGTTTAAGCACGTACCTACGTTAGTTGAATATCAATGAAACATGTTTATCCTTGTGCTCTTTAGCGCAATAGTTCAGAATATTTAACCCAGTTTCTTGGGTAGTTCAAAAAGTTTTCGGTCTGATGACATCAAATAGCTATGCTCCAGCGTAGACCGAATCATTCGTTACCACCAGGCGAGATAGTGGGCAAAGGTGACGCCTTCAGATATAGACCTAGTCGTCCATATGAAGGGTCCAATAAGCCCAAGTTCTTAAACACAATATGGTCCATTATGGTCTCTGCTCAATTATGTTTAGTAAGTACTAATCTCCGCATTTCGCGGATAATAAAGGATCACCACTTAAAAGGGTCAGTTTGATCTGAGAATGCCCAGTCGCTGATTCCTTAGTCTGGTCGTATGACGCTCTTGGCAAGAGTAGAAATGTTGACATTTTCTCCTCTACCGCCATCACACAGTAAATACAATATAGTTCGTATTACCACATCAAACCCAACTACATCTGCACTTACAAACTGCCATCTTAGCTCCACGTCACCCGTCATAGTAAGCGCTACTGGTGATTTACACCCGTGTGACAGTCGGCTATTTAATTGCTGCGCATGCCCGCCGCATGATCTATTGCTCGACGATAGTCTAATGTCGACGTATTTGTGAACTCATTACCAGTTGGAAATAGACAGAAATGTGTGTATGACTGTGCAGATCTTGTGTAAATAGCTGTCTTGATGGTTGGTGGTGGGGTCTGACAGATACGGTGTGTGTGCGAATTTGACCTTGTCACCCTTCCCGAGAGCTGTTCTACATTTTTCTCCAAACGTCAATGTTATGGAGGACCCCTCCTATTCAGGGGATACTCATAGTCGTAACAGTGGACTTTTTTATGAAATAGAGAGTCTATGGTATTGTAATAACTCGGGATGTTGATGTTAAGTTTCATTATTTATGACATGATTCCAATTACAAGTGCTACAACAATGATAAATTACCTAGTTACCTCCTCAAACAATTACTCACAATCGACTTTCACCACAATAACAATTTCTCAGTTCCTAAACCTTGGAAGATCACAGAACTGACTTGACGAATGGGTTATAAAAAACAACTGTGCCAAACCGGTCATTTATCGCGCATAAACCATAGATTTACATCGTATGTTTGTCTGATTTATGGTCATAAACTTACCCTTTTGTTCTCTGTATGTGTCGTTTCTTTACAATACATGGCTGCCAATAAACGACCTTTGTATATGTTTAGACGTGATGCTGAGTTTAATTGAGTATCTACATTTGCGCCATTTCGAGATACGTGATGCAACAACGACTGCCTCGTTGGCCGAGTGGTCGCAAGTGCGACTGCCGGGCAAGGGTTATCGGGTTCGATTCCCGGGTTGGGCAAAGTATTACTGGATTTTTAAAAATCTCAGTAGTAGCACGGAATCTGGAAATGTGTCCGATATATGGCAATAGGCTCACCCCCTATTACATGGGACTCATAACATAAATAGTGAAAAGGAGGTATTACATTGTACAGTGGCATTAAGTGCCGTAATGTGCACCTCTGCCTACCCCTTCGGGGATAAAAGATGTGATGTTATGTTATGTTATGTGATGCAACAATATTATCAAGAGAAGATTCAATTCCTCTTCATTCATTAAGTTGAAAAAAACTTATGTTCGAGTTTAAATATTTAGCCACCTCCACTGGCGGAGAAGCCAATTCCTCCTCATCAAATATTGATCAACTAACACAATATATACTTCTAACACATACATTATAAGACCCAAGTTTAAATTTATTATTCTTCTTTATTCACAGAGTAATGGCAACAACTACATGGCTGGCGAGCCGCGGCGTAAGCGCGAGCCGCCCGCCCGGCCGAACCACATTCTGCTGTACACCATCATCAACCCTGCCTATCCCATCACTGTGGTAAGTAGCTGTACTATATTATTACTGTATTATAGTTCTTTCAGTTCGCAAGTTTCAAATTCTTGTAGGATTTCTTAAAAGGCAATCTTCTTTATAAGGTATATATAATTCTTCTGTGAGTGTGTATGTCACTGAACTTCTCTCAAACGACTGGACCGATTTCGATAAAATTTTCTTGTGTGTTCAAGGGGATCTGGGAATGGTTTAGTTTCACAAATCAGCCCGGCAGATGGCGCTGCAGTCGATGTCTAGGTTGGTTATGTTTAGGATAACCAACCTAGACATCGGTTGAGCTAATTTGAATGAATTTTTGTTCATACATTCAAGTGGATATGCAGGACAACGTCTGTTGGGTCTGCTAGTACATTTATAATTCTTTGTTGTGCTGCGAATGTCCATGGACAGCAGTGATAGCTTACAATCACGTGGTTATTGTGATTAGTTCGCTTGTTTGCCGTCTATCCGAAATAATCATCTTTCTAATTCGAAAAGGTTTTTATGTATGTTACTGCTGTACTGGTTAAAATCACAACCCAATGTGAAAAATAATATCAAGACTCAAAATATAACTGGCTAAGTGTTCTCTGTCTTCCCTTTCGGAAATAGATTCAAATGCCAAACGTGATGTTGTGTTCCTAACTTATTGGATTTTTTAAAAAAAAGAAGGCATACCATAGAAAACACGCATCCATATTCAGTTCAAAATACTTCTAGTTCCAAACTAGAGGCTTCTTACAAATAGCCTTTTGTAGAACTGGACTGAATACAAAACTATTTTGAACTCAATATTCCCTTCTTGGAAGCGTCCGGGATCACAATCTACTGTATATTATACTTTAGGTATTTGATGTATCCTGCTAAAGCGATTTTATTTCTGTAAGCAAATATTTGAATATACGGGTAGAAGTACAGTCGGTGTTACATGAAAATGGGTTAAGTAAAATGTGTAGATACAGTTGTAAGATTTTTGGGGTATATATTAACATTTTGGATTTTTTGTTTGCGATTGAGGATTAATTTGTATCCGTAGATACATTATTTTGTTCTTCTGTGAAAGATGTTATATCAGGATTTGTTTTGTATATTATACTGACGAACCCCCAAACGGTCACCGGTAAACGCTCGCCACTGACTTCATTATAGACCTTGTTGCCGATGTTTAGAGACTACTTTTGTATGAACAAATTTTGGGGACTTTTGGTACGATGTATCAAGTAATTAAAAGCTATTAAGCCTTAAATTTATATTTTTTAACTAATATCACGTCTAAAATTCTAAATATAATCCAAATATTGAACCGTCTGTACTTCAAAATCCCAGACATAGACGTTTCCCGATCAATAATCAATTTCGTTTCATTCGGAAACCAATTAAAACATTCAGTATTTTGTCAAGAAAAACAAAATAACTTCAATGAAGAAAATAAAGTAAAGATACGAGAATTAATAGCTGTGTAATCGTACATGATCGGAAAACTTCGGCAATGTTCGTCCGTAGTCGTACCGATTGTGATATTTAATCGAGAGAAACGAAGTTTGAAAAGTTCTGCTGGGTTATACCTACTCAATACTTTAGTTGTTTCAGTCCCTGATAAATCTTTTATCTGCTTTTAGGGGTACGATTTGAAGAATAGTATTTCGAAGAGCCTTAACCTCTGGTCTGCCGGTACATGAGACAATAGAAAACGCATTGTGTCTCGCGTATATTTACGTTTCGGCAACATCATCATCAACAGCTTTTAAATGCCCACTGCTGAGTAAGCCTCTTCTAACATGGAGAAGGTTGGCGATTACGAACTTATAATTAGAAATTATAGTAAGTTCAGGTTTCTTTACGATATTTTCCTTCATTGTTTGTCAGTGGTGTATAATCTTAGAAAGTACATATAACCCGGAAAAATGAAAAGCTATCCCAATATCACTATACCTCTAAATTACCATTTGAGTTATTTGTGAGAATTACCCCATTATCAGGCTCCCAATCTTTAATTTCATCATATTAAATACTTCAGGAATATGTTACAATTGTCCTCTATTCTTCTTGCATCTAATAACAGAATGAAATCTGCATTCAAAAGACAATCTTAGCCTGATATATTTAGGTTACAAACTTCAACCACCCCTAACAGTTTCATTCCACTTTGAAACGTTCACAAGTTTTCATATTGTTGCTATTAAAACTGAATTACGTTTGTAGGAAGTTTCTTCTTTCCTGGCTACTTGATGGGGCTCTTACAGAAGAATTGTTTGTGAAGTTTTTAATACGTTTTGTTTGTTCACTATTGTGGATAACTATGTTTTTGTTTAAATGAGAATTGCTGTTATCAAGCTTGGAAAGGCCAATGAAAGTTAACTTGCGTATCATAGAATTTTGTATTTGCATCAAGAGTTTTTATTTTAAACTGTCAAACACCAAGCGGTCACCGGTGACCGCAACCTATTGTTCTATAATTGTGTCTATAATGACGGTACTCGACGAGTTAATGAACATGTTTGGCAGTGCGCAAATCAGTGTACTCCAAATTGTACTCCTCCTTTTACTTACGGTTGTTTCTACAAAAATAATGAAAATAAAAGATGCCTTCTGAGCCACTCCTTCCTTGACTCTGTTTCTGCCACGTTAGACCCAAAGTCAAGAAGAAACGAGTGAGAGTGATACGAGTCCATCAATATACGTGCTACTATTTACAGTTCTATGCAATTTTATAATAGTACATAATTCATTGCTGCTCTCTGTATCGATTGCCTCGTTAGCCGAGTGGTCGCAAGTGCGACTGCCGGGCAAGGCTCGGGTTCAATTCTCAGGTCGGGCAAAGTATTACTGGGTTTATAAAAAAAATCTCAGTAGCAGCACGGAGTCTGGAGTTGTGCCCGGTATGTGGCAAAAGGCTCACCCCCTATTACATGGAGCTCATAACATAAATAGTGAAAAGTGGGTGTTATATTGTACAGTGGTATAATGTTCACCTCTACCGACCCCTTCGGGGATAAAAGGCGTGATGTTATGTTATGTTATGTTACAAAATTCATTCAGCCTCATTCATCTTGCAGAAAAATACTCGAAACACCATTTTTAAACAAACCGATTATGCAAAAAACAAAGACACAACTTCACCCCCATGCTTGCAACTTCACAAAGAAGAAAAGCACACCCTATATCACAAGTAAACAATTTTAACCGTGCCTCTAATTTCAGTATTATAACGCTCCATGAAACTTCAAGATGGTAAACTTTCAGCTCGTATGGGAGGTTAAGTTTTGCAGCGCAAGTAGTGGGTTTTGGTCTTATAGAAGGGGGATAGATTAGTATGTGAATTGTGTTTATGGGATATGATGTGAATGGCGAATGGTTGCAAAATGCATACGAAGTCGGTTCTAACAATCTTTTTTTTGCAGATTTGATTAAATACACGCTGCTTATGAGGAAGAACCCCTCTGTGGTTCGAAACTAGTAGAGCTTTTCTCAGTATATTCACATGAGTAACCCGCGAGTTTAGTTAATTTATTATGCCTCACGATAGTTATTATAAAAACATTGATTAAGTATTTTAATAATAATAGCTCAGTTCCATGATCCTTGCCGGGTGTTAAAGTGTAGATTACTACCACTCCACAGAAATAGTGTTTTGTGAAATAGAAATATTGTAAATTTGTTTCAAAAGTACCAAATTATGGTTTAATTGACTTTGATACTGACTTTTCATATTGTAACTCTCGTGAGATATACTAAATTAATTATTATGTTTTTAAATTAAATATGAGCCTATAGCATGGCTTGAAACTAGTTCAGTTCCTTGTCAAACAGTTACGTGAGTAAGCTCGAAACATAATAACTGACTTTTCATTTCATAATTGACTATTGCTATAGATAAAAGAAAAGATTTGTCTGAATCTACGTTCCGACAGCTCATGAAACTGCACTGAAGATATATCTCCCCCAACACGTTTTACGTGTCAACTTACCAAATTAACAAATACGTTATCACTCGAAATAAACAGAGACATCACTCCGTCACTCTGAATGAACTACGACCATACTTCTTATCTCTAATCCTCGATTTTGTGTCCCTCATACAATATGGTACCATAAAATTCAAACAAGTGAAGTCTCTTGCCATATGTCTTGGCGGTATCTTTAGGATCCCTTCAGACTGTGTGACGTTATTATATATGCTTTTGTTTTGTTTAACCCGTGTCTTGGAAGTTCGAAGTATAGAATTTGTTTTTGTCAGTAGTCTTTCTTGGATACTTTTCAGAAGATTTTAGAGTAGTTACTTGCAGATTCTTGAGCTGGACAGGAGTTAGGGAGATTTTTACTTAAACAGGACTGCGATGGTTGAAGATCTTGGTGTTTTGATTCGAGATAAACAATAAAATATGAATGGATTACGTAATAAAGTCGTACAAAAGAGAAGAAAGTATAATGTTAAAACGACGTCTGCGATATAACTGTCTTTTTATAACACATCTGTGAGTCCTTTTATGTTGCGGGTGTCAATGGACATGGAAACATTAGGAAAAAGAAGATATATTAACCCCAGCTTTGATCAAATTTAAAATTACCCCGCTCCCCAATCGCCCCATTCCCCAATAGTCTTCAAATTCCTAATCCCCAAAGGTCAAGTAACACCTGGTGTTTCAGGTGTCGATTGATCACATCAGATGATCCGTCTGCCTGTTTACCGGCTTATTCCATAAAAAATACAGAAAAGCACAATGTAGTCCCAATTACAAGCACCCCTAAGGTTCTATCGACCGTGCTATACTTTCATAGTGTCGCCAAAGTTAAAGTAGTTACAGTTTTTATGACCCCTTACAAACTTTAGGTCGTTACACACAATTGTTAGTGGAATTGCTAAGAGATAGGTATCTAGATGTTTGCTTGAGTGTTTCTGAACAATATTACAATGGAATTGAGCTTCTTTTTATTGTTATTGAACAGATGTGTAACAGGTGAATACTTTATCTTCACTTGGGAGCAAAAAAGCGGACCCATCTATA